CGAGAGCTCTTTGACTTGCAAAGGGGTACTTGGCGAAGTCGCCGGCTGTAACCACAATGTGCGTTTGTTTGTCAACGTGTTCGAAGACTCTGGTTTCCCAACTACAGCCCGTCTGCCGCTCAGACCTCATGGACAATCAGGTTGATGATCACTTCATCAGCCAAACGCCTCAGCACGTTGTCGACGACAAACCCACGGTTGAGGCACTCTCAATCTGCATGGCAAAATCACTCGTCAGCATTCGTCAACGACATCGCGAAATGAGACCACACGTTGGCGTCACATCACCAAACACACTCAGCCACGACCCAACGAACAGCAACTCCTCGAGCGAGCACGTTTCCCGCCAACGAAGGCGGGGCCCATGAAAAACCCAGACGACGAACAGACGACAGACGAAGGCGACGGTTTCCCCAGACTCCTCAACTTGCAACAAGAATCGTGGCATTTGCGACATGGGTTCAGGAAGGTCTGGTGACCGTCGTCGTCGCGGCAAACAGAATTTCCATTACCCCCAGGAAACTGCTGACTGGTCGCGCCAGGGGGGCCCAAATTGGATCTTTGACGTCGTCGACCATGTCGTGGGGCCCTAGACAGGGGGTTGTGTGTATCGGTACCTCGCCGGTCTCGACGGACACGGGAACAAAACATGCTGGTAGCAGATCCAGCTCTGCGGACAACAGTAACTGAGAGAACAGAAAAAATTCGCACCAAAAAAAAAACTTCCAGCCAGAGGTCCAAAGGAGACTTTCCAGTTCCTTGCATTAGCCCCATCTTTCCCCAGTTGTGGTCCAAGCCTCTGAGTGGCCCAAAGTGCTACGCTACGGCCGAAAGCGGCAATCGATGGGGTAACGCTTTGCTAACAGATTGCCTCAGAACGCAATGGCGTCTTGTGGTTTTCGAGGTGTTTTTTTTTTCTTCGTTTCCTCAGAAAGTGGCTCCGCGTGACTCCAGAACGCCATCCGGTAGCAGGTTTGCATCACGCGGGCCACTGTGGAAAGTGGGGAGACCGAAAGACTCGAGAAAAAACTGCTTAGCTGAGATCTGGTTTAGACGAGGACAGAAGGGTGCCACCTCATCTCAGAGGAGCTCGCCTTGCGCCGGTGCAATTGGCAATTTGCGCGGACATGTCCGTTTCGACATGATGCGTGCTTGGCTGACGACGAATTGGACATGTTTGCTGTTTGCTTCTTTGTGCTTCTTATCAGAATAAACAAATCCAGAAAGATATCTTATCTGGGTTTGCTTATTTTGCAGATAACAGCAGGCTCTCAATATCCAATGTCCGGGCGTCTTACACGCAACTCCTTAAAGGCCGATGACTGATGGCTCTCTAACACCAGGGAGCATGAGGTAAGTTAGGCAAGGAGGGAGGTAGGCGGACGGCATATGCAGCATGCCTCCGATCAGAAACCCTGTCTCACCCCTACTGTTACGTCCCAACATGTCTTCATCATCCCATTGATGCAAGTCAAGCCTCACAAACTGGTCCTCTAAATGCCGTAGGAATGAGGACGACGCGCAGTCATCCACCCAGCTGCATCAAGACATTTCGAGCTCTTACGACGGTACTCCTCCTTGGTCATTCTCATACTACACTGCGCAGAAACCACTTTGCTGGCACCCTGGTCCAAGTCACGGGGAACAAGAGCAACCAACGACAGCGAACCAAGCTACCCATGAGCTGTCCCAAACCAAGCTCTGCCAGCCCTAGCTCTGGCCTCTAGCCTACAGCAACTAGCTCCGCTCCCGACGTTTCGGGGCCTCGGGACCGTCCTAATTTTGCAACCAAGATCTACCCCCTCAGTCCCTCTTCCGCTCCCACTCTGGGCCCCCCGTCTGCCCCCTCTGAGAAGTACCTACGGCACCGCAATAGAGCCGCCAAAACTTTTCCCTCCAGCGCTAAAAATTCTTTTTTGCAATGGGGCGCGCGAGCTGTACGTAGCTACGTACCGCCAGGTGACTCCTTCTCTCCCCCCCAGTGCAACGCCGTCACTCAGCCCATGGGAAACTTTTTGCACGTCAGGCGGACGCCGCAGAGCCTGGCCGCCGTTTCTCCCTGGCGTGTATGTGTACGATGGTACTTGGCCGCCCACCACCCCTCCCCCCTTCCTCACGCTCACGCCTTCAAAGACGAACAAAACCTATATAGACCATGGACCCTCCTCTGTCTCTCACGGTCGACCTCGCTTCCCATCATTGACTCATCCCAAGACATCCAAGCTTCTGCTTCATCCAAGCTCCGTTCCCTCATCCGAGAGTTCAGACGACACAACCCGTGAACCAACCCACTTACACGGATCACAACCTACACCAAACCTACACCACATACACATCCTTCAAGATGCCTTCCCAAATCTTCGTCACAGAGCCTCACCCCACGGTGGTACCAAACACCTACATCTACTCGGGCCGCGGCGGCGCCGGCAACATCTTCAAGGCCCCCGTCACCACCCCGGCCACCGGCGTCACCACGCCCCTCAAGCCCGTCTCCGCCAACAACAGCGCCCGCCGCTTCTACTCTGGCATCGGCGGCGCGGGCAACGCCCACAGCGCCACCGAGAGGCCCGTCATCAGCTTCGACGAGGACTTTGACCGCCAGCAGGTCCGCGACCGCGCCGTCGTCGGCCACGTCGGCATCGGCGGCGCCGGCAACGTCTCCCGCCGCAAGGGCTCCGACGCCTCCTCCGTCCTGAGCGACGAGTCCTCCGCCTCGTCCGGCTCGTCGCTCAAGTCCATCAAGGAGCGCGGCGGCAGCTTCCTTCGCCGTCTCGCTTCCAAGAAGAACTGAGCGGTTCTCGTGGTCTACCGTCTCCACTACATCAACAAAATCATGTTATAAAAAAGCAACGGAACTCAGCAAGGCGTTTGGAAACCAAAAAAAGTCATTTGTCGGATATATCATGTGGTCATAGGGGGAAAAGCAAAGGAGATTCTCACAAAGAGAACCGGGAGGTTGTTGCCTTGGAGCAAACACGAAGAAACCGTCTGCAGGAAATCATTCGCTGGCTGGAAGATGCCAGAGACATGGGAGCATAGCGGGAAAAAAGAAAGGGCGTTTTACGATTTTTGAGCGAAGTCGAGTAGTCGACACAATACCCCCCCAATTTCATTTGGATAGCATGGCCCATCTGATGATGGAGCCCTTGAATTGAAAGTTTATGAACCTTCAAATACTCCACCTTGATCCTGAACTATGCCTGTGACTCGAGCTTTGAATATCAAACGCATAACTGCCGATTCCTCGTGGACGTTGCCTTGTCGAACTGGTACCTCTTCCTCGCACAAACTCACTCAACACAAGTGCACGGCATCGACCCCTGTGCATGGTCAATAAAAGAGGCCGCCGGCACCTTACGAAGAAGAACCAGAGGAAAGCCAGTCGCCCATGATTGCTAGTCTGCTTGTGACTCAAAAACCCAAAGGTTGCAAATCATCTTTTATAGTCACAACGGCAACACCAACACTGAATCGAAAGCTCTCGGAACGACTACGACAGGAATAAGCCGGCACTGGACAACATTGACGGACAGTGGCGCAGCAAATGATATGGCCGGCTCTTTCAATCACACCGACGGAGATCTCTGTGCTCCTCGTGTTTAAAACGCAACGGTTCAAAAGGACAAGACTTGAGAACTGAGCTCCTGACTACCAGCCCGGCCCATTGGCTTGTCGAATCTATTCAGATGGCACAGATCGGCCAAATATACTCTACATATTATCACAACCGTTGCCACTCACATCGACATACCGCTCAGAAGATAGCAGACAGTCCCTAGATTTTTGAAAATGAGCAACTTCCATGGAAACAGGCATGAACCACATCATTTGGAGGTACATCAATGTCACGACTTCCTCTCCATCAATCCATAATCACCAGACAATGATGTCTTGATGTATGTCGTCGTACTGTCCCGATGGGAGCTGCTTGAGAAACAAACAGCAAAGGAGACGACCTCATAAACTACTCACCCATTGATTTGGCACCACAACTACTAGGGAAAACTTCAAAGATGGAAACAAACGACGATATGGAAACCTCATCCCAATTATAGAAGCCGCACTCCACTGCATTGCATCACTTGTTTCCTCAATCAATTCGTAATCCCTTCTTGCTCTTTGCTGTCAACCCGATAAACCCGGAAAATATTGTCCTAAAGACTCTAGCTACTCACTCCAAACACCCTCTTAAATAGAACACGCCCGTAAGCCATACCCGACACTTCCAACGCACGAGATTGAACAAATGTCTCGCCCGCACATGGCCTGCGCATGTGAGTATTCACATTGCTTATTCCAAAAGCAACAGCCTTCTGGATGAGACCTTATCCTTATCAAAGAGGTCAGAGCTCCCACGAACCATCTTTCCTTCTCGTCTTATCTCGGCATCGTTGCTTTTGAAATCTCCCAGGGCAAGTTTCTTATTTCGGCTCTGCTATCTCTGTCACAATTCAGCCCCGTCATTGGCAGGTGACAGTCGTGGCACTCAAGGCCAGAGCGCAACTGCGGGCGTTGCGTAGTTGAACATGGTCAACCCGTCATCTACAAGAGCCTTCAATCGTCCTTAAGTCTTTTACGGGTGATACATGCTAGCAGTTCGCAGCTTTTATCATACACACAAACGGGACAACAAGACTCGGGTATCATTCTCAACTTTCTAGCTGACTCATTACCTCAACATGCTGCCTACCTTGCCTGAATCCCTGGCCTCTCGCAACGCCAGGGACATCTTTTTTTAGAAGGGGGTAATCTTTGGAAAACAAAATCTAGCCAGTCCTCCCTCCGGTTCTCTTCCCGTCGTCTTCCCATGACACATACGTTGATTGACAACCGGGAAGAAAAGGCATTCCCTTCTTTCGCCACGCGTCTACGGTGCATGTCTTGCTCATCTGATGGAGACACGCCCAGATTCTATTGGAAAAAAGCGTGGGCAGAAGAATGTGCAGAGTAAACGCATCTAGAAAGCCGCTTCGTATAAAACTCAAAACGCAGAAGCCGTCTCACGTAAATTTGGTGTGGATGATATCCGGGTTCTCGTGCCAGTCGTCGATGCTCACCCACATCTGTCACGGTTGTCAGTATGTCACTTCGTCGACCCAAGCGGGGGACAGAAGACTCACCTTTCTGAAAGTGCTGAGACCAGCCAAGATACTTCCTCCGATCCATGTAGAGTACTTGCGCTCCGGCGGCGCAAAGATCTTTATCCTCATGTCCTTGACGGCCAACCGCTGCAGCTCCGTGAGCAGACGATCACCGAAGCCCTTGGTCAGCGTGCTGCCTCCCGAGAGCACAATGTTGCTGTACAGCGACTTGCGCAGGTCGAGATCCGTCCTGTTGATCGCGTCGACGACGATCTGGTGCACGCCCGGGTACTCGAGGCCGATGATCTCGGGGTCGAAAAGGATTTCTGGTGCCCTGAAGCGTTCCGCGCCAATCTAGCATCACGGTTAGCACTTTTTGTCCCCTCTCTAAACCCTTTTCCCGACGGAAAGTATTGCTCTGTTGCTTACCTTGAGCTTGTGACCGTCCGGCAAAACATATTCCATGCTCTTGGCCGAGTCCGTCCTGTTGGCCCACTCCTTCTCCTCCTTCCTGGGATCGTGCGCGACGTAGGTGACGGACTCCTTGATGAGCCTCACGACCTCCTTCTCGGCGCTGGTGTGAAAGACGTAGCCGCTCTTGCGCAGCAGCGTCTGCATGTACTCCGTCACATCGCGGCCCGCGACGTCTATCCGCCGGATGCTACTCGGCATCGCGAAGCCCTCGTACACAGGGACGGCGTGCGACACGCCGTCGCCCGAGTCAAGGACGATACCCGTCGTCCGGCCGCTGGCGTATAATGACAGCACCGCCTGGATCGATGTGTACAGCGCCGGCACGTTGAATGTCTCGAAGAGGATCTGGGCGGCCGTGTCGCGGTTGCTGCGGGGGTTGAGGGGGGGTTCGGTTAGGAGAACGGGGTGCTGGGACAAGCATTAGCATCGCGAGATGAAATTGGGGCGGGGAAAGCGCCATCATCTCCCCGCGGTCTACCGGAACACACACCTCTTCGCTGAGGGTCTTGAGCCCCTCTCCGTACACGTATTCCCAGATCTTCTCCATGTCATCCCAGTCCGTGACGATGCCGTGCTCAAGCGGGTACCTGATCTTCAACAGACCCCGGAGCTCCGTCGCCGCCTTCTGACCGATAAAGACCTCGCCCTCGAGCGCGCCGGCCAGGACACGCAGGTGCTTGGGACGGCCGACGAACGAGGGGAAGTAGCACTTTGGCAGGTCGTCGCCCGCGAAGCCGGCGCGGATGGTGCCGGAGCCATTGTCCAGGACGATGGGCGCGTTGTGCAGCGAGTCCGTCATCTTGCGCGATGCATCCGAGGATCAAAATGTTCTCTCTCTCAAATCCTTCCGCTTCTCAATCGTTCCCGCCGGTCGTATGTATCGTCGGGTCGGCGAGTTTCGTTCCGATTTCGCGCACACGTTGAACCACACCCACCCCTTTGTTTGTGTTTGGCGGTGACTGCTGGCAAGTGGGGACTCGGCGATTCGTTGGCGTTGGGGAAATGAGGCTACGATTGACGCCCGCACGCTTTGAGCCCGGTGTGCAAGGGAGGATTGCAGGAGTTTGCGGTGTCGTCGCTGGGTCGTCGGCTCGTTCGTCGTTGGTCGCTGGAGATGGGATGTTGTCAAAATGGTCAAAATTGGAGGACAGCTTCAAGCACGACGCGGTCTCAGTCCGGGGAGCTGCAGGGGCGCGAATTGCTAGGACAGATGTGGAGTAGCGCGATTGGGAGCTGGCGTGCACTGGCCTCTAGGGTCTCGGTTGGAGCAGGTGTGTAAGTGCAGAGATGGTGACACGAAAGGGTTGCATTTGGGATGCAAACGATTGTGGAGATTTATCTCTCTATTTATTTGTCGTTGAATAAAATCGAGTCTCACGCGCGCAAAGTAGTTTGTGTGTTTTGAACAAAGTAAATACTGCTGGTCCGAACAGACTTCTACCGATGCTGAATCCAAGAAGCCCCCGAACGCCGTAGATGCTCGAGATAAGATATGTACAGGTATCTCCGTGGTATGTTCCAAATTCCCAAAATTCTAGCTTCCAACTCCCATATCGATGTTTCCACTCAGTTCAGTAAGAGGAATGAATGCATTTGCTCAGATGTGGCCGTCGAGCGCCACCTTGGTGAGGTAGGGCCAGCCAAGGACGAAGGTGAAGAGAGGGAAGAACCTGCAGGGTGTACTGTTAGTCGAGATTCGAATCAAAAGGCACGATCGGTAAATATAATGCTCACATTGTGGCCGTGACGGCACGTCTCTTAAGCATGGCACCGTAGTAGGGCTTGGCCTGGACGCCAGTCTGGGGCATCCTCTGGAAGGGATGAGGCTCAAATTGGCGGGCAACGTTGCGCATGTTGGTGAGGAGAGAGAATTGTCTGCGCTGGACAGCCATGCGGGCGGCAGTGCGGGCGGCGAATGCGGGAGACATTTTGAGTGATGAGTTGGTTGGTTTGGTTGTCGAGTAAAGACTTTTCAGTGATTAAGAGGAGTGAAGTTGGCAGTGATACACTCGTACAAAAGATGTAGTGGAGAGTTGTGTGTTTGTTTGAGTCGAGACTCTGTTTGATGTTGTTGATGTGTGATGATGATGAGAGAGAGGGATACACAACAGACGGGAAGCTGCTTCGGATCTTATACCAGGAAAAAGATTGTGACTCCTGCCTGCAAAGCTACGAGATCTGTAAATCTTGAGCAAGGCTATTCCGGGATTTCCTACGGCAAACGCCTATTGTGGGCAGATGGGCGGGCAGCTTTGCCCGTAAGATTGCCGTGCCTGGGCGGAGCGAGTGAGGCTTCTCAATCGAGGCCCAGGCAAAATCATGCCATCCCATCTCCAACGGCCCCCAAACGGTATCCATGGCCATGGGATTCTGCAATGAAAGTTGACAAGACATAATGTCTCACCCAATAGGCGCAGCCGCGCGGGTGGGGAGGCAAACCGTTTGGGTCATTTGGGCGGTTTGCAAAAAGCCTGCGCTGGAAAATCGCGTATTAAAACTGTCGATTGGCGATGGTGTGGTTCTCTGCAGTTTCCTGACGACTGCCAACGATTATGGGGTGATGTGGTCTGACGGCGGCCACCGAGGAGGCGCACTGATTGGCTGGCAGAGGGGCCTGGATTCCCCGCGAATGAGATGATCGCCGCTGCTGACCATTGAAGCGAACAATCGAACCACAGACCCAGCCGGCTGGGAGCGACGACGAGGGAGAATCCGGGGAAGACAGTGACAGCTGCCTTGGTCCGAACGTGCAAAGGTATTGGAGTTCAGATCCCGAACGAAAATAGGGGATGAGATGACATCGTTGCTCTTTTTCCCAAGAAAGAATGAGGTGGAAGATGCGGTGTCACTTTGCTGCAGAAGCGGTACGTACTGCGAGCTGTCACTTGGGAAGCTTGCAGGCCCGTCACGACCCTGCGCACGCTGAGTGGCCCAAGAATCTGGGGTTGGCAGCCAGCACGCAGCAGTTCCTTCAGATAACGGTCTTATCGCCATGTGACTCGGGCGGACCCGCCAAACGTGGTCGGACGTTGACGCCGTTCCGCGGTTTTTCCTGAGCCGTGGCCTTCCGGGTTCCCGTCCCATTGAAGCTCACCTATCGACCGACCGATACCCTACAACGCCCCCGAGTCTCCCGACTTCGCGATCGTCCGACCGACCGACCACTCGAGCATGCCATTGGTAGACCACGTGACAATGTCGTCGCCAATGAAGGCCGCCTCCGACGCGGGCAAGTCGAAAGACGGACTGCACCCGGTCCACGCCCTTCCGAGCCCTGCCGCGCAGCTCGTCCGACACGTCCAGCCGGTGCTCCTGTCTGGCCTGTTCGTTGCACAGTTCAGCTCGCTGGTGGCCGACCCCGTGCGGACTCTCACAAATTCCCTGCCGGTCGTCGCCGCGATACAAATTGTCTATGCGTTCGTCTGCCTGCCCGCCGCTGGTTCGCAAGCGTCAAAGGGTACTCGCAAGCCCCGGCCTGGCGAGAAGAAGAAGGTTGAGAGCACGGGGCCGAACCCCTTCATCGTGAGTGGTCATCCGTCACCAATCGGTCGGGGAGTCATCGCTAACAGCTATGCTAGGCTATCTTCCTCTCCGTCCTCCTCGCCGCTCTGATCACGCCCGCCCTGCACATCGTGCTCGTTCTCTTCGGCGCTCCCTTCCTCACACACGTCCCGCACACCCTCCTGTGCTCCGCCAACGTCTGCCTCCTCTCGCTCTTCCCACTCTTCTACGTCCACGGTGTCGAGGCCAGCACATGGGCGTCCATCGCCAGCGCGGCTGCGCCGCTGGACGAGGCATACGGCGGTCTGATCGGAGGTCTGCTGGGCGCGTGGCTCGGCGCGGTGCCAATTCCCCTGGACTGGGACCGTGACTGGCAGAAGTGGCCCGTTACGATTCTGTGTGGCCTCTACGGCGGCTACGTCCTGGGCAAGACCATTGGCGGCACATTGGCGTTTGGCAAGAGGATGGCAGGTTCTGCGAGCGACGACGAGTGAGCATGCTGAGGCGGTCAATAATCTGAAATGGCAGCGTGCTGCAAGTCAGCGACAACAGTCCCGCCGACCGTCTGACTCGTCGACAATACCACGAGAGTGACATGGCGTTAGTATTCGTCACGTCTCGCACAAGAATGCCTCCGGGTAAGGTGTAGCATGGCTAGGCCTAGACCTAAACCTGAACCTGAAGAGGCGGTAGTTCAAGCGTGCGTGGCAACAGCGGCTTCACCAACGCTAGCTCTTGTTTAGCAGCAACTTGGCCTTCCGCAAAGTAATCGATGTATAATACCTAGTGCCAATTGGCAACAGCCAAGAGTGGCCTCAAAAAAAAATAAACCAAACAAAGTTCCAACATAACCAATGCGATAGACCGCCAGGAAAGAAACGTGATGTTGCAAATATTTGCCGCCATGAGCCTCGGCGATGTCGCAATCAATGCCGTGCAGTGAAACACCAACATCATATCCGTCGCGGCACACTTCACCGCAGCCACATATAGCCTTGCAAGCTTGCCTCATGGAAGAGTCCAGCCCTACAGAGTCGACGAAATAGGCGTTGGAGTCCGACTTCTAGCGACGTTTTTTTTCGCCGTCTGCGCCCCCCGTCACAAAAGCGGGTACAGGCCGCGTCTCCGTCCCAGCCCTGCCAGCTGCCGAGCCGACTTGGCTCCTCCCCCTTTGCCGCCGGGCATGACCGGGCCCCTTTCGTCATAAGTCACGGGGCACCTTGGGGTTTCATTGGTGAGACAGCTCTGGCGAGTTTTTGATGGGGCGAGGAGACAAGAACAAGGTGAATGGCGCGCCGTGCAAGAGGAAAAGAAACCAACAAGGCGGTGGGGATTTGGGAGAACGGACATTGGCAAAAGTGACTTGGTGACTCTTCACTGCCAAATCATTTGCATGTCTTCTCCACAGCATGCGCGGACGGACCGATGCCCGCTGGAGAAACAATTGGCATGAACCTTGCGCCAAGTCGAGCGAACTGACAGGCAGATCCTCGATGCTCATCTGTGGCTATGTGGCTGTGCCGTCACTCTTGCGACACTGATCAGCTTTCCTGGTGTGGCGCTGTGGCTCATCGCCTGCATGTTGCTAGGGCACCTTCCCTGCCGGCGTGACTGTCTCTAGCCCCTCCTACTGGTCGAGAGCGTGTGGGCCGATGAGCGAAAGAAGCAAATTAAGAAGGCGGACCCCACCAGCGGCGCTAGCAGGCTCGGCTGATGACGTAGCATTCACCTACCCGCCCCGAAAAAGAGTTCGCGCAGCTTCTCGTCCATTAGATTCCGATGTACACTGGCTACCTTTACGCGAGAAAACAAGCAAGCCAGTTGCAGCCCAGCGCGCACCTGTGCACCCATGACCTGAAGACCAGCCCCGGAATGGCCGTGCCTGGGTACGGTGCTGCTTCCCAATGACGGCGATGTCGCGGGAACTGGCTGGGGCGGGGGACGCGCAATTGAAGGCTCGATCTGGTAAGGATAGATCGGAAACGACAACGATGCCATGGCAAAGTATTCAAGTGTCGGATTTCTGTAAGGGGGCATCATGTGGGAGAAGTCTGCGCCGCGAACCGGTATCAGCTTTAAGCATCTTGATGTAATTGCAGAAACCTGGCAGCAGGCAGTCAGTGGTTCGCCGTCTTGCAGGAACAGCCGTGCCATATCTGACTTTGCTGATACGTCGTAAAGATGCAGCTGTACTGTCTTCAGGCTTCGGTTCTGCTCCGCACGGATTGTAGTTTCCGGAGAACGTCAAGGGCCAGACAGGGCGTGAAGAGCAGGGTCATTGCCCAAAAAGTGGGTGAAGGTGTGGCTTGTCCGCATCGCACGGCAAAGCCATCCCATGCCCAAGAAAACTAGCGAGAAGCTATCCGAAGGGAGGTGCGGACTGTCTGTCAGTGAGGTAGGGGCCCGGTGTGCCTTACGCAGGCGCACCTTATTCCTGCCGCAGCAAACCGGGAATCAGTCGATGACGCATGTCCCTTCTCATTTCACCCCAAGCCTATTCCCCGGCACGAACAGCACAGCTGCTGCGGCTTACTGGGAGCTTGCGCTTGGGTGATGCTTGGTGCTTGGGTGCTTCCGGACCTCAATGGCCTGGCACCTGCGACTGGCTTGTCCCTTGTCAGACGTAAGGTCCGCAGTGAGGTAAGGAAGAGATGTACTGATGGCGGGAAGGGGGCGGCCCCTGCAAGTCCACATCACATCACTGTGAGCTCGACTGGTGACCGTGACCTTCCAGTCCATTGCGCCTACCTTACTTGCTGGGGCCATTCTTTTTTTTTTTTTTTTTTTTTTTTTCCCTCGTTGAGTCTTGGAGGATTGCCCAGTACCACTCCTCTATTTAAGCATCTCGTCCCCATCCCACCCTTCCTTTCCCCTCTTGACATTCTAAAACCAACTTACATTCGACCTTACGTTAGATCTTCGAGATCCCGTCGCGAACTATCAGACTCACACAAACAAACACTTCATCACCACAACACATCAAACACCATGCCTTTCACCGCTTCCGATATCTGCAAGATCCTTCTTGCCATCATCCTCCCGCCTGTTGGTGTCTTCCTTGAGCGCGGCTGCGGTGCTGACTTCTTCATCAACATCCTGTTGACCATTCTTGGTAAGCTCCGACACTCATTTCCATCACATACAGCATTCACTAACATTCACAGGTTACCTGCCCGGTATCATCCACGCTCTGTACATCATCCTGAAATATTAAGCGTCCCGTCACTGAGGTCGTCCCGACCTTGAACCTCCTACATCATTGAGCGCTATGACGACTTCAAGCAAGCGACAGCGGCATGACCTCAGCCCTTCGACATGCGAGACCCAATCGTTTGACAGGAGGGTGGTGGTGTAGGCGGTGGCCGGGTATTCTAGCGACCTCAGCTTCCGTCTCATCCGGCAACCTTGGGGGATCCTCCTGCACCGGACGGCAGGGATTCTGCTTGCCAGTGCAGGGTGGCCTAAGACCCCCTACCGCTTTTTGTTATTTACGACCACGACACAGCAACGGCCTCTTTTCCTCTGTTGGAGGCGGTTATTTTCATCACGGACTGGTTCTGATCGGCTCTTATTTTCTTGCGGTACGCCTGCAAGAATTGGATCAGGGAGACTTTGGACTGTGTACACTTGATGCTTAATTCGATACCCGACATCAATCTCTTCAATCAAAGATTTCTTCTTTCGCAAAGAATTTTCTCATTATGCATGTGTGATGTGTTGTCAGACGCAGCCGTATCTGGTTGCTTCATAACCCGGCTGTGCCGCATGATTGCGGTTGTGATGTTCCCCCTCCAGCAGTAACAGCGACATTGCCGGAGTTTCCTCCAGTGATGTCATGCCTCATTTACATTGAAACGCTGAGCTCTCGCCCGGAAACGTTCTAGATCCCACCAACCCGCCTAAGCATACAGACTTCGGAAACACCGTCCAAGAGCTTATTTCACTTGCAACAAGAACGCTCAAGCAGTTATTGCATAGCCAACCATGCCATGGCAGCCATGGTCGCAAAAAATAAACCTTGTTTCCCGCGTACTCAACGACGAGCCCAGCCACAATAATGGAGACGCCTGAACCTCCAAATGATCCCGGGGCGGTTTGCTCTTCACCGCGACGGATCAACCAACGGAAGCCGAAGGACGCGTCACGCAAAATACTCGGCGCAGCGTCGGTCCCACACTGCCTTTTGCGGTGCAGTTGTGCACACACTCGGCGCGAAGCCGAAAGCGTTAAGGCAGATTGAATGTGCCCTGAAGCCTGTCGTCCGTCGTCGCCCTGCCGCTGGACTGACTGACTGACTGACTGCCGTCGGCCGCCAGAATCAGATAAACTGCGATCCCTGTCCGCGAGGGCTGTGTTTAATTGCACGCAGACCGTTAAGCCGGGCTGCGGCCTGTTCGAGAGCGCTGGGGAAACGGACAGAGTGCGGTGAGCGTCAACCAGATAGATCATAGATCACCATCGTCCAGGTTCTTTGCGCGAATGCGAGCACAGGAATAAGGAGATACCAAGGACGATCTACCAACCCGCAATGACTCGGCGGGTATGGAGCTGAGCTTTGATATCCCACCCGGCCTTATTTCATTTTCATTTCTGGTCGAGATGCTGCATAGTATTTCTGGCCTTTATTTTTAAAACAATTGTTTCGAGTGGCACGCTGCTGGCCCCCAAAGCGCTCACAGACCCTTTCGATTTCGGCCTTCCCATATACCCCTGTCCGCGCCAAGGGGGGGGGGGGGGGGGGGGGCCTGGTGATCCCCTGCATCCCGCCTCGCTGGGCTAAGCGTTCCGGCGTACCCGCCTGCCAACTCCATGTCACATTTTCTTCATTTGAATCGTTGCGATGAACGCCCTCCCGTTTGCTCCGGGGATGGTTTTCTCCTCACGGAATGTGTGTGATGTCTACCATGTATATGTGAGTGTCACGGGGTGTGCTCCATGGTTCCACATCTTCGGATATCAGGGAGCTGGAGGGGGAGCGGGGAGCTGTGCGAGATTCTGATCACTATCGGCTGGCTGGCAGGTAAACGGAGGCAGACATCCGCGCGTGGAATTGCCCAGGCGCATCACACTCAACCTCTTCCGACCTTGAACGACAGAATCTGTGAGGCGTTAGCAACAAACTCATGACCATGGAAACATGAAGCCCATGATGATAGGCAAACACTTACATCGTTCTTCCCAACCGCAACAGGGTCGTCCTCAGCGACCCTCAACCCCCCAGCACCCTCGATATACGCAATCGGCGCATCCCCCATAACCTTCCTCGCCGCCTCCCCCACCGTCGTGCCCTTCTTGACCAGCACGCAGTCCCTGAACACGACCCTGCTCTCGTTCGCGCCAGACTGGAACGTCGTCGTGTTGCGCACGGGAAACACCGGCACCAGCCCCAGGATCTCCGCCGCCTTACTGAGCACCTGCACCACTCCCGTCGACCCGAACCGGTACAGCACCATGTCCTTGAGGTTCTCTATCCGGTTGCGGTTCTTCTCGTCCA